TTTGCATGTAAAACTGTGAACAATCTAATAAATTGGGTTTCCATAATCCAGTTCTATAGTCATTTCCTTATCAACCATGACATAGAATGGATCAACACAAAGGGGCCAAATTCTTACAACATCCTTAACTGGAAAATAGGTGGTTAGTGCATTGTGAGGTATAAATTAATGCAGTCGATTGCCATTGGATTAAATTTAGTTTAGTTTTGCACAAGGTTAAATTAATTCCACTTAGCCATATTCTGAGGACACCAAAGCCCAGTCAATCATTCCACTGTGCCTAAAACTAAGACCAAAGAGAGAGAATGGCTGAAAAAGTGAAAGTAAAACTTCCCTGTACCAAACTATTTATTAAGATCTGATAATATTAATCCCATCTTCCAGATACAGCTTGAATACAGTCACAAAGCTATTATATAGCTGCTGGTTGACCAATGGAAAGGACTAAGTGATATAATGATGTACTCTATAAATACAAGGGCCTTTATCATGGAAAAAATAAAGGAAGATCTACATTCCTTAAATGACATCTTCTGACTAATAACTTTGACCATGTGCTTCCAGAACCCAATGCCAAGAGATTTGACTGGCCTTGCAGCTGACAGGGCTAGATTTGTTATATGAACAGGGCCAGTGATGGAGAACTGCTTGATTGTCAAGCAAGGGTGATATTAGTCTTACTTATATTACAACAGTCTTACTTATATTACAAGCTGATTTATTCTGCCTTTGGAAATTGAACTCATCTGGTAATTCCATCTTCAGGTACATGCCTTGCCCAGTGAGTTTGCTAAACTTTACAGAGATCCATGAAACTCTTCAAAGTTCCATGAAACTGTTCTAATGTGCAGAAGCAGGACTTTTTGTTTTCTGTGTGATGTGAGGGCTATTTCATAAAATTTTCTAAATAGTGCCTACTATTAGGTGTGATGAAAATTACATAATCTACAAGATTACAAGTGAATTGATTAAATAAGCACAAGTAATTTACAATCTACAAATACAATCTACAGATACAAATCCCAGTCTTTTTGTAAGGACTTCAGGTGACTAAAGGTATTTATTAGAGCATTCATGCTGCCATAAATTAATCTGGTTAATTGGACTCTTACTAGAATAATGTGGTTACCTGAGTAATAAGAATTCTTTCCTGCCTCACACATAATCAGCATGAAAACAAATCTTTAGCTTCATTTACATTCAGAGATATTGTCATACACCTAAACCTAATTGAATGTTGTAATCCTATTACTTCATTGCAGAAGACTAGTTCATCTTTTCTCAAAGCTCTCCTTTTGTCCCAATTTACTTGTGGGTGAAGATCATATAATGAAATGTGAAATACAGATATTTAAAGCAGCATTTAAAGGACTACAACGTCTTAATTCATACCAATAGTCCTATTTGTGTTTTACTTCATTTTATTTATATAAGGCTTCTAAAATGCAATCCCTATAAGAGTTTCTTGTAATAAAACAATCAAAACTACATCTATTAAAGCATGTCAAAAATAATGTTTAATGTACTAAAAATAAGAATGTAAAAGATATACACAACAGAAATGCTTCTTTCCTAGTTCTTGTGTCTTTCTCTTAAGGCTGTAGCTGCCTTAATATCAAACACCCATTGGCTCAGTGGAAGTCTGACTGAGATTAAATATTTACAGAAAGGCCCTATCGGGATTATTCACCAGTTGCTTCACTTCTGTTTACATGAATCATGGAGGTTTGACTGCAAGGCTCTTAAAATTAGAGCTCCAGAGGAGAGTTTTTGTTATGTTGATTTTTTTAAAAAAAAATTGTCCTCAGAAGACCTTTTGGTAACTGTTCTGTGGTTCTGATCAGAAGTTGCAGCTGCTCTTTGGCCTCTCTGTTTACAGACATATCATGTGATATGGTTTTCTGTGTGTATATGTGTGTATGTGTGTGTGTTGAGAGAAGAGAGAGAGAGAATGTGATTCTGTTTTGGTCTTAAAAATATCAACCTTCCTTGTTCAAGGAAAACATAAAAAACAAAACAAAACCAGAACACAATCACCCATTCCAAGAGTAGTGTGTTGCTATTGCCATCTACTGCTGAAAAATGCAACTGCTATATTACTCTGGTTCATCACCTTGCAAGTAGACAACTCTAAGCCATGAAATACTGTTCTTATATCTAACAGAGGAGGCATTCAAACCATTATGTTCTACTGATTTTTGATTATGAGCTACTTCTATTTTAGTTTATTATAGGTAATGTTAAGACAGATAATGGGAGAGAATGCCTGACAGCTATGACTCTCTGATTACAGTGTAATGTGAGAAGGAAGAATACCAGCAATTAGAGGTATTTTTCAAATATGATACTTAGTGGTCTGGCTTGGCAATCCTGAGAAACCATCATTTCCCATTCAGTATATGAGTGCTGGTGAATCTAAAAACTTCTGCCTCCCTCTTCCCTTCCTTTCGATACCAGCCAATGTGTGTCTGATTCTGATGTTAAACGTCTGCTTTATACTATACATCTAAACAAAAAAATGTGGTTGGTTGTTTAAGGCAGAATCATAAAACGTGTGGTCCAATTCTGATTTCTTTAATAAGTTAAAACAAATACACAGTTCCCCAAATTTCAACATAATGGGAATCTGTGGCCAGCCAGATGCTGCCAATCTCTTCCTCTTTCACATAAAACAGTAAAGGGAAGTTTGAGTGTTTGAGTTAAAACTCACAATACTAAGGAACTAGTTCTCTTCCATTTGTGTACAAATGCATTTAGTATCATACTTTTCAATCCCTAAGAAGCTTAAAATAAATAATTCCAAGAACAGTATTTTAACATGAAAAGTAGAGAAAGCAAAACATTGCTTTTAGAAATTGTAAGACCTATTAAAAAAAACAACATACCTGATTTTTATCTGAAGCTCAGAAAAAAGAAAAAGACTTAACCTGCCACTACATCAAACAGTTTCCTCAGAAAAACTTTCCAATCTTACAAGCCCTACTTAAAATGCCCTTGCCCCTGAACACAGGGCTCATGTTCTTAATAACTGAGCTGGTAAACTAGGGCATAGATTTTAATAATGGTAAAGTAGTTTTAGGGAGAGTATCACAGTGGCCTAGAGATGAAGATATTTGCCTCCCATTCGGAAGGTTGAAAGTTCAATCCTAGGTAGCAACAGGCATTTCTATATCAGAGCGCAAAGAGAAAATATCTGCTGTGAACTCCATATAGGCATCAGGAAGGGCATTCAGCCAGTAAATGCTCAGCGCCATTCAGTCGCCCCAGCTCTGGCCCGATTGAAGGGTTGTGAAAAGGGGGGGGGGAAGTAGCTTTAGGGAAAGATAAATTATAATTTGGAGAGAGCCCTTCTGTCAGCCTTATTGCCTTTATTTAAAGGGCTTCTGAAATAATACGAAGTCTGTAATAACACATACTATTTTACTAAAAAGTATACACTTCAGCAGGATCTTACTTTTAAAGCATCTTCAGCAATATGGGGGCAAAAGGAAATTCTACTTACAGTTTTATCTTGTAGAATTTAGAAGAGACACTTAAAAAGAATTTGGCCTGTGTACAGTATGCCAGCTGGACTTTGGGCCAGTCACTCTGATTCATCCTTAGCCCAGGAAATTGAAAAACATTTCTCTACCAACACAGAAAGCACCAGTATGGTAGATTACAGTCCATAAACTTCCAAGAAGAGGTCTTCATCCTGCAGCCTAGTGGACTTATGTGGGTTGATGATGATGATATTCATTAACAGAAGAGATTCTATAAAAAGTTACACTTTTCAGCCTCTTTAGCCATATTTTCCCCTCAGCTTAAAACAGTACAGTAATCTTAACTACCCCCACTAGATGGCACCAAGTGCTGAAGGGATTGAATAATACTGTAGTGCAGTTAGGTGGCAAGAAAAAAGCAACTTCACACTCCCACAAAAAAATCTGAAAGGGCGAAATATGGTATCCAATAATATAAACAACACTACAAAAACATATAGACTGCATGTAGCTGCTCCTCTTATAACAACCAGAAATTCTGCAAGTAACTAGTGAAGACATAATCCTTTTTTTTTTTCTTGGAAAAAGGAAATACCATTCCTTAGACTACAACAGTGTTTTTCAAATGTGATAATATTAAAGTTGCCAAGTTTGAAAAACACTGGACTAGAACATTAAAATGATCTAACAAAAAGTTTTCTCATATTTTGAAAATGTTTTTAAAAATCTGAATCTACAAGAGGATTATAATTTTTAAAATAAACATCTTACTTTCGCCTACATAAAGTTTTGGTTATAAAATATTATCAGTTGAGGCAACATATATTGATAAGTACATATGATAAAGTTATTCTTTCATGACAGAACTAGATCTCAAAAGTAGATAGTAAAAACTAATGAGTGGTTACCAAATGTCATAATGATTCATCTTGATGTCTTATAAATTACTTTAAAATGCCCTGCTATTCATACGTAGCAAGGCATTAAACTTTTTAAAAGACACACCCTAGTTTACAAATGAGCAAATTAGAAATGAGTATTAAATTAACCTGACATATTAACTGCTGTTTAATTGTCAAAAAAAATCACTATAATACAATGCAATAATTTATATAAACCCAAGGTTTCATTTTTGTTCAATATTTTCATAATGAAAGAATCTATGCCTACAGTGAATTACTTTTTAGCAAGGATTAAAAAGATATAATACCCTTTTTTCTGTCTTGAATTTCATAGTCAACAATCATGAGATATTCCAAAATATTCTTTTAAACATCTGACTTCAACCCTAATAAAATGGGATTCTTGACTTATCTTTGCTTATTACAAACAAGCAGAAGGTGACCACTTCTGATCCTTAAAAAATATAAAAACAAAAACTTTTTAGATTTTGAGATTCTTCTATTTAAAAAGATGGATTTTTCATTCTCGAAGGCTTATGGCATTCATTTTGCCCCTTAAATTCCTCTCAATTAACATAACCAGTGCCCCTAACTGGGCAAAAAATATTGGCCTTACCTTGTCCAGTTGTACTTTAAGGAACTGCATGAAGACTGAGGGTTGTCCATAAGCTCTGGGAAATTAGATATTTTAAAAATCTCAGCAAATTTCTCACATTGATAATTAAAGTACACTATACACATCAAGTATTTTTTGCAATCATTTGGTAATGGCCTTGGTTGTCATAGATTTTTCCTTATTCTAGCATTTATCTCTTCTCTTGATAATCTAATAGAGACTGTACCATTAGAAAATAACATTAAATAATAACCCCATTGACACAAAAACAATTAGGATTTGGGGGAGGAAGTGTATTATATCAGAAGACTGGAGGGAAAGATCCCTGTAAAGTTGCTGAATGCATTTAGGCAAATCTTTTAATCACTAAGAAAATTATACTAGCAAAAGCTTTTCAAAGGACTGTAGCAGTGAGTTTGGGTAAGGAGAGAAATAATACATGATGAAAATGTCAACTATGAACATTGTTAGTGCTTTTCATAGCACACCTTGACTGGCACTAAAGGTAGCAAATCATAATCCTAATTTGTCTTCAAAAACAGTTTCTGCAGTATGCACAGAAACCCAATAGAAAAGGCCAGTCACTTCTGATCAGTTAAGAAAATTCTTGCAATGATAAATGTAAAAAGTGGGTTTCAAAAAGAACTGCATTACTTAGTGTTGCCTGAGCCTTCATACTTACTCCTGCTTGTTAATAAGGACTTGAGCTATTAAAAATCTGGGTGACCACTAGAGGACAGTAAAGGGATAAAGAAACCTTTGCTTGCTGCCATCTAGTGACTACTGAGATTTCTGTCGCCTAGATCTAAGAGCCCTAATTTAAGCACAGACTGAAAAGAGGAAGATAGCTAGAGGAAACAGAGGTTTTGAGCTAAATAGGGGAGTGCTCAAATTTTACTCTTTTACCTTATAAGGACACTAGTTCCCTTCTTTGATTAGGTGAGCTTTGGAAGATATAATCACGTAGTCACAGATGTAGACCTGGGGTCACCAGAAGGTCAAGCTCTCTCTCTCTCTCTCTCTCTCTCTCTCTCTGCACAAAGATTTCTAAGATCTAAATTAGCTTTCCTTTAAACTATTACCAGACCCTTCCAGAAATCTTGCATTACAATTCCCATCATTTCCAACCTTCATGGCTGGGAACTGGTATAGATTCCAAAATATATTTACAGGTCAACAAGTACATTCACGTTCTCAGTTTCTAATTCTCACCTAAGTTACAGATAATTCATTATACGATGAAGAGGGAAGAGAGGAAATTATGTCAAGATTGCCACGTTCAATATTGTGTCTCATATGCCTTAGCCTGCTTGCTCAGGTTTCACAACCTGTGGGGGAGCATGAAGTGATGCATCCCTGCAGTAATTCTGGTTTCCAGTTCAACTTTCCATTCCAAGAAGAAAACAAATGTTAATACTATTATCACTCAGTAATATTACATCACTGGCTGCAACTGTCCTGCTGTTAGTACTGTAAATCAGCATCAATTGACTTTAACCAACTGATGAAGAAAAAAATCACCTCACCGTATTGTATGTAAATAGGTAAGATCAGCTAGTGGCACCAACTAATCATGAAAAAGATCAAGAGTATAAATAAAATGGCAAGCAAACCACTACTAATATATCCCACCAAAAATACTGATATGTGCATAGAAATGGGACTAGCCTGAAGCTGAGACACAAAGCCCTTACCCCACCCCATTCTCAGCATCTTTCTTTCAGACTGATCTTCAAGTCTATCTTTACCATCAGATGCTAAGCATGAGTGATGGCATGGACTACTATAAGAATTACTGGGGATTCCCTGAAGAAGTTTCATGTCTAACTAACATAGTAAGATAACATGCATTTGGCTAAAATACAACTTGCTAGCCGTCTTTCACACAAATGCTTAACCTATTATTAAATTAACCACCTGTGCTATATTTACACAAGTAAAGTTAGTTCAGGAGCTTACACCTAAAGTACTTTTTTATTTTTTGGAACAGAAATTGGAAATCTATGACACAAGTAGTCCTCAACTTATGATCATTTATTTAGCGACCATTCAAGTTTACAACAGAGCTGGGAGAAATGATATATGACCAGACCTCATATTTATGACTTCCGCAGTGTCCCTGCAGTCATGTGATCAATAATTCGGATGCTTGGCAACCAGTTCACACTTATGACAATTGCAGCAACCTATGGTCACATGATCACTATTTGTGACCTTCGCAGCTAGCTCCCAACAAGCAACGTCAATGGGGAAGCCAACAAGTTGCAGTCACGTGATGTCTTGCATAACAACCAGGTGATTCATTTAACCACAGCAAAAAAAAAAAGTCATAAGTTAGGGTGTGATTATCACTTAACAACTGCACTACTTGATGAATTTTCTGATCCTTATTGTGGTTGTAAATTGAGAACTACCTGTAATCAGATACTGTTGATATGTAACTCAGGGGAATCCTCACGTTGGCATGAACTAAAAATGTGGGCCTGGCAATATTCAGTCATAAGAGTAATAAGAACTGATCAAGAATATGTTCAATATGAGTGCTGCAAATAGATAGATAGATAGATAGATAGATAGATAGATAGATAGATAGATAGATAGATAGATAGATATTATGCATTCGATTTAAGGTGGATTGATTTTCTAATTTGCATAGTATAGCTAAGGATAAATTCCTTTATCAGTCTGAAGCTCCATTTGAATTTGACTCTGCTTAAAGCAACAATAGTGTGATTTGATCTACTGCTAGCAGTAAGGGGATTATCTAGAATCTAAGAAATCTAAAATCTTATTCTTCGTTGAAAATGAAGCTGTGGTTCTCCTTCAGATTCATTCGAGGGTGGTTTACGGAATTTACCAGATTTTTTTTACTACTTTTGTGAATTAGACCTGATGAAAAAAAGTATCAATTCTGAGCACAGAATTTATTCTGGGTATATAAACTGAACAGATCTTCCACAGACCTACTTAACTTCTTCCCCTCCCAGCAGATCTTTATTTTAAATTCTTCTTTTGATTCAATTTAATTTTTCTAATGCAATTTAGGGCAAGGAGAGATTGTTGCTATTTAGTAGTGGAAATGTAAAAATCTGATTTGGTAAAAAGAATGAAATCTCTAAGATTTCATTTGTTCATTCTTGGATTTTCTGAAGTCTTAAAAATCAAAACATTGCAAAACAGTTTGATGCTCATTATTGAACCTTTATCAATAGCTTCACAAGCTAATTAAAAAGTAAATCCCACTCTATTTGTGAAGCAGACTGCTCAGTTATCTAGAAAAGTTGATTTCTAGTTGACTTACAGAATAATATCCAGCAGGATTGGTATTATGCTGATAAAAGGAATTTGAATTCTCAGGGGGGCAAGTCAATTTAGGGTAGAAAGATCAGTTTTTTTCCCAACAAGTCCTTACTACTTTCTCTCATCCTCCACAGGTTCAGAATTTTACTTCATAATCCCACAAACTTCTGATTAGTACCAATCCCATTCCAGTGAAAAACATAACTGTTTGTAATAGTGACAAATATCTGTAGCTCCGGTATATGATGAGAATTCTCACACACACACTTCCAGTTGATAGTTACACTACGGTATATCAACTGGGATCCTCCAATACGAACAATGTTATTAAGCAAGCATCAGCCGGCGTAGTGTAGACCAGACCAAAGCTCATGACTTAGGAGGCAGCCCCCAAAAATCGATTTTAAAGTAAAGGAACTCCATCTTACCGAATATCGCTTTCTACTAAGGGAGTCTGATCCCCGAGCCACCCAGACGTTGCAGCTGTCGACCACTTCATACTCAGCGTAGCTTGGAAAAAAACCAAAAGCGGGCGAGAGAGCAGCAAAAGGGGCGCCTTCTCCACGTGTGTGGAGAAAGCGCAATAGCCGCGTTTGTAACGGGCGCCAGAAATGAAACTCAGCCTTCCCTGCCCCAATCCGGGCCACGTTACCGGCTGCTTTCAAATCTGACGACAGCTACTTCTCCATTTGTTAAATGAAACAGGAAGCTTCCCTCTTGGGGCTGCGCGCAGCAGCTCTTTTCGCTTGTCACATTTTCTGAGAACGTATTAAGTCGAGTAAAGAAGACTGTATTTCCCCGCCGTTTATTTTGGGAAGCGTTTCTCTTTTGCAGCGATGCGCCAGAACCGAGAACTTTGATTCACGTGCAGATTTCACGCGAGAACGAATGGGCTTTGAGAAAGTGGAAGTTGCCGCTTTACAGAACCGTACGTACGTATTTTTAAACCACGAGTTCATTTCGTGTTCATTACGATGGCTGGTCGCGGAGTCAGCCCGGTGTTTACACTGGATTTGGCATTTTTGTTCACCTATCGAGTCTTTTCCAAGGACCTGGGATAGGCAGACGTTGTTTAACAATGTTAAAGCTACCGTGGTAGGATGCAAGCTGTTCCAAGAAAGCTGCCTTTTGCAGTTGAGCGATGGGGGTTCTGTCAATGCCTGTTCATCTCAAGGCGCTATTACTATTTAGCACTACTTTTGCTTTTTTGCAGCAGTCGTTCTACTTCTGCTTGCAGGTGTTTGCATTTTGTGGTTTCCTCTTGTTCTTTCTCTTCTGTTCTGATGTCTCCACTATCCAGACTTTTTGTCTTTCTTATCCACAATTGTTAAGTCTTGGGTGTTGCGTGGCAGATGTTTGAACTGTAAAATCCAGAGGACTTTAATCTCACCATTTTCTATTACTTCGTCTGTTTCGTGGTCCTATCGATTCTTGCTTACAGGCAAGTGATATTTCCTACAGATATCCCAATTCAACATAATTGTTACTTTGTCATGATGTTGTTTATAATCTGTGTGCGATCTTTTTTCAGCAGCTTGGTAGACCGTTTCTTCAGCTTCTTTGCTTTGGCTATCTGCTCCTGTTTTCTTAACTCTGGTTTTGTATGCATTTGTTCTTCCAGCTTGGTCTTGTGCAGTCAGAATTAGCCTCTCTATTATTATGGCTGGTATTATATTTTTATCCCACCTTTGTATATGTATTTATTTGGTCAACTCAAAGCAGCAAAAAAATACTCTTGCTGCTGTTTTCCCCACAACAACCTTGTGAGTTGGGTTGGGCTGAAAGAGAGTGACACTAGTCCAAAGTCACCCAGCTGGCTTTCATGCCTAAGAGAGGCTTAGAACTTAAATAGCATGTTAAACATGACAGCAAGTTGATGCTCTTTTTTATTACTATCTCTATAAAAAAATGGAAGAAATCTGTTTCTCTGGTGTATTTTAAGACGTGTACAAAATCCTTTGTGGGTATTTTCCCAGACATTTTCCACAAATGTTGCTAGTTGGTATTTCTTAGTAGCAAATTGAGAATACATACAGTACTTGGTTACAAACTTTTGACATACAATAGAAAGGCATAAGATTAGATGGGATGGGAGGGAATCTTGTATGTGCCTCCCTAGATCAGTGTTTCCCAAACTTGACAATTTTAAGGCATGTGGACTTCAACTCCCAGAATTCCACAGCCAGCGTTGCTGGCTGTGGAATTCTGGGAGTTGAAGTCCTCATGCCTTAAAATTGTCAAGTTTGGGAAACACTGCTAGATAAATATCACAGACTTACTGCTGAATTAAAACATGCCAAGCCTCAGTATGGCTTATGGATTAATGCACTGTGAAACCAACAAGTATGATTTGTAAATTATGTTTTAACATTATCTTGTATAAACCTGGAAAAATATCAATAGTTTATTTGTTAGATTTATAGGTCACTTTTTAAATAGGAGTGCAAGGGAGCATCTTAAATATTCCATCTGTCAATTTTTCCCTCAACAAGCTTGTGGGATAGGTTGAGATGAGTCATCTAATGAGCCTTTGATTGTTGGTTGACTGAAATCAGATCTAATAACTAATACATGCTAGAAATGTAAGAAACGCTGATTTATTTGGAAACCATGATTAAGTAAATGAATGAGGCCTGAATAAATGTATATCATATTGTGCTATCAATTTGTGTACCATCTCGCTTGTAAACAATTAGGAGTAATTGCTCATCAAACTCATTCTTGGAGCATGCAATAAGAGTTTATATTAATTTCAGTTAACATTAGTGCTATTTATTCATTTAAAGTAATTAAGCCCTAATAAGGTGCAAATAAGGTCACAAAACATGTCCACATGATCTTGAGACACAGCAACTGTCATAAATGCATGCCAGTGGCCAAGCATCCAAATTTTCATCCTGTGATCATGGGCATGCTGCAGTGGTCATAGGTGTGAAAAATGGTCATAAGTCACATTTCAGTGCTATTATAACAATCACTAAACAAATGATTGTAAGTCAAGAACTATCCATACAACTCCAGTCCTCTGGGAAGAGTGCTTTTGTGTTTATTCCTGCATTAACAAAGGTTTTTGACTCTATGGACTCACATGTATGAGGGACCACCGTAAATGTGGCTTCTACAGGTGGCCCACAACATACCACTATTCATTTAACAACCATTTGAAGTTACAATGGCACTGAAAAATGTGACTTGCAACTGGCCCTCATATTTACATTCCTCACAGTATTCCTACTGTTGCATAATTAAAATTCAGGGCACTTGGCAACCAGCATGTATTTATGACAGTTGCAGAGTCCTGGGACAGGCAATCACCATTTGTGACCTTCCCAGCTGGCTTCCAACAAAGGATGCCAGATTCATTTAATGACCACGTGAATCACTTAACAACCATGGCAAAAAAAAGAGTTCTAACATCGGATGAGATTCACCTTGCTTAGTAACAGAAATTCTGGCCCCAATGGTGGTCATAAAATGAAGACACATAAAATGTTATGTGTTTGGCTGCCTTGGCAATGCAGGGCATGAAGTATCGGGATGTGGCGCTCCTGGAGCTCGTGCAAATGGAGCTCGCCTGTTGTTCGCGCAGGTGAAGATGCTCATGCGCACGTGTGCTCATCAGCCATTCCTGTGGCCCAGCTGCAATCCTCTCATGGCCCACTAGTGGGCTGCAGCCCACAGGTTGGGGACCCCTACAACAAAGCAAAGTAGCCCAGAGGGAAAGATTGAATGTCCCAAACTACTTAAGTAAATGTTCTTCTTGAATACTCACAGAATATAGGAGTAGCACAGGACACTGCCTATGTTACTAGATTTTTGTATTACTTTTGAGCAATCTGAGACTTTGGAGATTTATATCGAAATATTTCAGACAGTGTCTGCATTTCCCCGACTGGCCATTCAAAACTATTAACTATCACTTTTGTTTGTATGTTGTTACAATTAGACATGATTAAATGCCATTGACCAAAGGATGCTGCACTGCATGGCTCTGATATTTTACTTCCAGATGGTCTGTTTTTCAAGTGTATCATCAAGACATTTTTGTTTTTTGCAAACAAATTTTATTTACAAAAGTAAATGTATTAATTTGCACTGGCATGTCAGCCGTCCAACAATATATATAAACCTCTCTTGATCACTCTGAAAACATAAAAAGGGAATGAAAAAATGTGTTAGATGTTAAGTTTGTGAACTTGAAAGCAAAGGTATATCTTTGCTATGTATCTTTCATTCCATGTAAAATACTACATTGATACTGTGTCTGGTTACTCAGATAAGTCAATCTTGCGTAATTGGTTTCACAAAGTCATTGCCTGTGGATTTCCCAGCAAAAGAGGTGCAAGCCTCAGCAGTGCACGAACTGGCATCTTCAGTGGTTTGAATTTCAAGAGGAGCTCAGAAAAACTTGTACTACCTAGAAAATATATTGAGAGAAAACAATTTTCCAGCTGTAAGAACATACGTACAAAATTGCTGTGTTTTAGAAACAAATATAGGTAGTCCTCAACTTACAACAGTTCATTTAGGGACTGAAGTTATAATGGTACTGAAAAAAGTGACATATGACTGTTTTTCACATGATCTTTGCCACATCCTCATGGTCACATGATCAAAATTCAGATGCTTGGCAACTGACTCATGTTTATGATGGTTGCATGTCCTGGAATCATGTGATCACCTTTTGCAACCTTCTGACAAGCAAAAGTCAATGAGGAGGCCAGATTCACTTAACAACCGTGTTACTAACTAAATAACTGCAGTAATTCACTTAACAACTGGACAGAAAAGGTCATAAAGTTAAGGGCAAAATTCCCTTAACTACTGTCTCTCTTAGCAACAAAAAATTTGGACTCAATTGTCATAAGTCAAGGACTACCTGTATAGCCCTTTGTTGATGTACAGCAGTTTTGATTTTCCTATTATTTAAAACACGGAGATCAAATAGGCACATTTTAACAGGGTTCAAAGATCTGACTGTGACTTAATACATTTAGATAATCACATCACCATACTTTAAAAATCTTCTCTAGCCTCTTTGGTTTTACTTATCCAACAACATTAAACGGTGACAATGAATCTAGTCTTCATCTGCTGTATCATAAATTCATTCTCTCTCTCTCTCTCTCACTTGTGGCCCCGTTTGTGTGTGTGCACGCGCACATAAAATGCTTCCCCCTCTCTTACCCTGCGGTCTGCCGACTGAGAAAGGTTGGAGACCTCTGCCTTAGTGTTAAAATATTTTTAAAAGGATCAAAATGGTAAATTTACCTTCCAAGCCTCCAGCTAACAGCTGTCCTGGAATTGGGACTGAATGATATATAAGGAAACATGCCAACATACTTAATTGAGATTCATCAATAAGTTGTCCACTTAAATAGGAATGCAAACAAATATCACCGCCAGCTGAAATACACACGAGGGAGATATTTTAGGGGATATAAATGGGATCTGCACCAAATATTGGAAAGTAGAGTTCCGTTCAAAATCCTAGCAAACTGACTATATCTTCCTCTGTGATAATTCATACCTTTCACTATCACCATTACCCATTTCTTCTTTCTTTACTCTATTATCAGTTTAAAAGTATTCATTATGGATTCATCATCATCAATAGGTGAGCATCTCTTAGTTTTTTTCCAAAGTGTATTTTTCCTTGGCTAACACTACCTTGTACTTACTGATACTTCCCTTGTATGCCTAGGCCTCCATTTTCAATATATACTAACAAAGAACTGTTAATTACCACGTTAATTTTCTTCATTTCTAGGGCAAAAGTCAAAATTAAAGTAGAAACCATTTTCATTTTAAAGAACTTATTGTAGCCTTCTACCAGTACAGTAGATAATGAAAGCTTTACCTTGCAGCCACTGATCCAAGGTATTATCGATAGAACATTTCATCACAGGTAAAAATTCTGAATTCATGAAAAGCCCTGCATGTGCATTTTTCCTTATTCTTTCCTGATGACTTCTGGAATTAAAAAACTCTAGAACCAACTTTATTTGCCACAAATCAAATGTCTCAGACATTTCTTTTTTTTCTAATCGTCTCACAGCCTAGCACAACAAGAAATGAAGAGGGAATTAAATTAATACAGTAGGGGCAAAGGAGTTACATGTAAAATAATTATCACAAGGTGATATTCCACTGAATTTGATTTTCCTCAGATATATGTTTGTTATAGATAATAACGGAAACTTGAATTCTAGAAGGCATAAAATAAAATGTGACTGAGGATAAATTATTACAAGTAAATTTTTAAAGCATAATTCAGGAAATCAAAATAATTGTAAATTCACTTAATGTTTGTTTTCTTTAAACTAAAAAATAAGTGTATACATGAATAAGAACATATGCTGAGGAGAAAAAAATACCTGGTCAATTGCTATATAAGCTGGCAACATCTCTGGATTCTCCTGAGTAACACACTCATACAGAATGGATGAAAAGAGGTCAAAAACTTCCTGTTTCTGAAATAAGAAAAATATATTTTACAAAGCACACCATCTACTCTCTTAAACATTTGCCCTTTTCTAATTAGTCCAATTCAAAAACATACTTGGGAGTATTTTCTGTTTTACAGTATCTAGAATACAGCATTCAGTTCAGACTTGAATTACATGTTCTTCTTGGATCCCAATACTAGAAAGCTAGAATTAAATGCAAAATGATGAATCCCTTATTCATTTATTTAAAATGCAATGTGTGCATAGATATTAAATATTTCCTCACGGTTGGGAACTCTTTTCGGAGAAACCAATTCCCATAGTATTTTCACAGCTTCAGTAATGAAAGCATTGGTGACTTGGCAATCATGTTCTCCATTATGTCCCTAACCTGGTCTTTTAAGTCTTTCAATGATCTGTCATCACCACTGTAATTAAGTCTATCCACCTTACTGCCCATCATCCTTGTTACTCCCTATGTCTTTAACCACAGTTCCCATAATTTCTGGTCAGCATATCCTCTGGCTGCCAATTAAGAGAATTGTGGCCCAATATAGCTGGGAAATCCAAGTTGGATAAGGATCATCTATGTCATTAGACACTTCAGAATTTTTGACCAATATAACTAATTCCCTTACACACCCTTCCCCATTTTCCCAGCTAGGTTTACATCTGACAACGTACTTGCCCCATAGTAGCAGCTGGCTTGCAAAAATAGTCAGCAAATGAAAGCAGTGCTGGATCAGATGTGAAAGCAGAAATAGCTTCTGGCTAAAAATAAAATGATATTTGAAATTAGAAGATTTCCCTTTTTTGGTTACAAATTATTCTTTATGAGAAAGTACATTTTACATCCCCCACACCAACGGTGTCTTGGTAAGAACCTCTTGAAAAATAGTCATGCTTCATCTCCACATGTTTAGATTACTGGAGTACACTCTGTGTGGTGCTACAGTTATTACAGAATACAGTGGTCTGATTGCTGATGCACAAGATGCACTTTGACTACCTAGCACTTGTTCTTAAGCCATTGCATAGTAATCTATAAGTTTCCAAGCCCAATTCAGAATGGTAGTTATTACATATAAAGCTCTATATAGTACTATGTTGGATATTATAGTATCTTCAGAATGATTCTTCCTGTCCCATGAGATCATGAGAAACACACTACTTAAGAGTCTAACCTCTCAAGAGCTGAGCTCAGGATGGGGGTTTTCTGTGATAGTTCCAATGCTCCATAATTCTCACCCTGTGCCCACCCCCCAGCATGCCACTTCTGTTATCTAGGTGCCATTCAAGGTGCTGCTTATTAAACTCTATATGGCTCAGGCCCTTTTGGATCTTAGAGACAACTTCTCCCAAACAGATGCTGCTCTCTTGACCTAAGTGAAAAGGGAATGCCCGCTGAAGGTCCCTTCCTAACATGAGGGAGAGCAGGAAGTAGTGGCTGCTCCCTTCCTTTGGAATTGCTAATCCCCAAGGCAAGGGTGGTCTGTATTCTTATCACCTTCTGGAGAATAGTTAAAATTTGAGTTTTCCAGAAGTCTTTGAGGGGATCTGGATCATTATTGCTTACATTTTTTTTAAAAAAAAAAACTTCTTTAAACACCACCTAGATTCTCTGGAATGAGGTGGTATATGAATCAATCAATCAGCTTAGTGGTAACCTGATGTTTTTGAGTTTTAGGCTATTTCTCAGAGATATTGCAGATTTGGTTTCAGATTACTACAATAAAGCAAATATCGCAATAAAGCAAGTCACACAATTGTTGGGTTTCCCAGTGCACGTAAAAGTTATGTTTACACTATACTGTTGTCTGTTAGATGTGCAATAGCATTATGTCTAAATAAATGTACATAACTTAATTAAAATAATTTATTATTAAGAGTGCTAATTATTATCTGAGCCTTCAGCAAGTAACCTTTTTACTGGCACAGGGTCTTGTAAAGCAAATAACAATATCTGCAAAGAGCAATAAAGTGAAGGGAAATAAAATGAGGCATGCCTGTACTTTGCAGGTACCATTAATCTCCTGGTGACTGCCTTTCTACCATATCTCTGAATTCATTTTCCATTACCCAACTCAGCTTTCTAAGCAACATCTTTTAGTTAAAAATTCTTTCAAAATGGAAAAAGTTTTATCTAGCATCACTGCTGGTACGATTAGATGGCAGCAGACAGCACGGTAATTTCAAAGGGGGAGAAGAGCTACCTTCACTGCATAGGCATCTGCATTTCGGTGAGTTACAGTCTGTGCTAGCAAGCTTCGCCAGCCCATGGGGTCTTCTTTGTATGAAAGCTGCCCAGCTCTGAGTTTTACATAGAGCACACCATCCTTTGAAAGAATTGATCTGGGGGGAAAAAAGAGAAATATTGAGTTGAACTCTTTTATTTATTCTTTTAGTACTCAAAGTGCAAAAAGATATGCCCTATATGGTGGTTCATGTAATTTAAGAATGGTCATACAGCACAAATACTTCCATATACAAAAATATACTTCCATATACAAAATACTTCAGTATACTAAGTATACAGTGAAAGGCTAGCAGGAGGCCTGAAACACAGAGGGTCAACAGGGCATAGAAGGGAAGAGATAGTGGCTGGAGGGAATTAAAGTGCCCCTGGGGTCCTAAGCACACACAGGTTGCTAAGTGCCTGAACTCTGATCATGTGAGTGCGATAGTGCCACAACAGCTGTAACTTTAAGGACCGATCATAAGTCATTGAGAAATGGTGTTAAGTACTATCTGTAGCACACTAGAAAAGCAAACAGCTGTTTATATTTGGATTCCAACATTTCTCCAGAGACAGTAAAATTGCAAGACAGAGTGCAACTATTCAGAATGTTCAGCATGACACTTACTTTAAATGATGCAGCCCTTTGCTTAAATCGATCAGCAGTTCCCAATATCGGGGACCTTTCACTCTGATCTGGAAGGATAACAAATTTAAGTTGTAGATATAAGATTACAAAAAACCTTAAAGTTCCTTATTTCAGGGGAAGTCTCCATACTTTCCAAAAAATCCTTCCTCCTGGCAAAGTCTAGAGCAGTGGTTCTCAACCTGTGGGTCGGGACCCCATTTGGGGTCAAACGACCATTTCACGGGGGTCGCCAAACAAGGCTGTCCGCCATTTTTCCCCCTTTTCTTTGGCCACACCCCTGGCACCCGGTGATGTATAAGTGGTTGGGGGTCACCACAACATGGGGAACTGTATTATGGGGTCACGGCATTAGAAAGGTTGAGAACCACTGGTCTAGAGAGTCTGATATATGATGTTTTGCCCTTGAAGAACATATCACCTTCTTAAACAAGTATTTTCAGAAATGCTGTCTGCACGTGCAGGGGTTTAGGAGCTACATCTCAGCAACTTTGCAAAAAAGAATCATCTTGCATACCTGCTTCAGTAAGTGAAGTTCAGGGAGAAGGGTGGGTGCCATAAATTCCTCAGATGTTTCTTCATACCACTGAGTTCCCTTTGAAATACAAAACAGTTTAGTAAAAAAATATGAAACGTACATGTAGAAACCACATAAGCTTAGGTCAGGGGTAGGCAACCTCGGCTCTTTTATGACTGGTGGACTTCAACTCCCAGGATTCCTGAGCCAGAATGGCTGGCTGAGGTTGAAGTCCACCAGTCATAAAAGCCAAGGTTGCCTACCCCTGGCTTAGGTGGAATGTATAAAGCCCCCATCTCAAATTCAAATGATTACTTTTCTCATTACAGGCATGAAAGATGTTTTCTAAATCGCATGGGATGAAGCAACCAGGTTTCAAGAAAGTAGATGGATTACATGGAAAAATCTTCTAATTTTAAGGCCATGGGATATTTCTGCCATAGAAGATTCCAGGGTTTGTGCTTTACTTTCTCCTTAGTACTACAAAATAAGGAACTGATCCTGCAGATATTGTCTGTTCTTCAGAATCGTACTCTTCATTTCATGTGTTTTATCTTAAGGTTATGCCAAATTATGTGTGGAGTAGAGCTATTTCTTTAAGCCAACCTTTCTTAACAGGATCTGCAGGACCCTGGGGTTCCGCAAGAGGTCGGAAGTGGTGCTATGAGAGCTTGTGATTGGGAAAAAAAAATACATTTTTTAAACTTTGCACTTTGACAATTATTATTGGATGATTATATCCACAACTTAATGGTCACATTAATGTACTGTGAACTGTAGATATTTTTTATGCAGGATGTCCTTGAGATCTGAAAATTATTTCAAAGGTTATTCCAGAGTTAAAAGTCTGAGCAGTCTGTTTTAAGATAATACACTTGGAATGCACCAAATGTTCCAAGGCTAGGAAGCAGGGTACTCCCTGAGATTAACTTCTAGTGGTGGATAGTGGTTTAAATTGTACCAGCTACATCAGTTACATAGCAATGTTGATAGTCTAATGTTTTACATTACATCAACAAGATATGTAATGTTTTACAAAGACATTACATACCTTGGATTTTTTATAGCAATATCCTTTTTAATTTTGAGAAAGATTTGATTTACCTAACGCAAAACAGCAATTGTGAGTTACCCTCCCTCCCATTCTTTCAAAGAATAGCCTAGCTTTCTCCAGGTCAGGCAGCACTGTGCAGTTATTTCACCTGCCCTAACCAGCATTTCAGAGAATAAAACCTTTTTTTCTCCACGTGTCACAGAATTTACATACCTTGTAGGTAACCTCCAGCAATGCATAGCAAGGGGTGTCTGTATCTACATCCACAGGGACAAGGAGTCTGGGTTCAGCTGCCAGGACATACAGATGCCGCAGGGCTTGGAGGTGATACCTGTGGCAGAGAAGAAATAATCTAGGCTATTAACTCTTTCTGTATGAATCCATCCATCTTTCATGAATAGCCAAAGATCCATTTAAATATCCTTTCCCTCCTACTTTTGGAGAGATGTGGTCTTGATTCTGTGAAACACTTTTTTTAAAGTGATCCAGATTTCATAGTTGCTGAGAAAAAGAATATGCTCTGGAGAGCCTTGAGAAGGAATCAAAGATAAATTTGGAATTAAAATGTCTGAAATTAGAATTTGTAGATTTGTAAGGGTGTAGGCATAGATGCACGCCTCAAAGATTTCTGAGTTGTAACTTTTCTTTTTCCTGTGAGAGAGGGAGAGAGAGAAAGAGAGGACACATTTGCTCCTTAGCCAGAGGACAATTGTGCTGGCATGGAGACTGATAGGTTTTAGATCTTCAGTTTCATAACTGAAATAAAATATATGCTTCATTCATTTCAATTGAAAGATTCATTTAAAGAACTTGCTAAAACTATTGTGGTTTTAGTGCATTAGTATTTATAGATTGCAGAGGCTGGGTATTCACAGTCACCCTGTGGTAAGATATGTGGCCAATAAATTAGGTAGGTAGGTAGGTAAGGAGGGGGGGGGCAGGCAGACAGACAGACAGACAGATTTATTGATTTAAATTGTATTTCAGAGTTGGTGAACATCATTGGCCAGATTACTGTTGAAATAGTTCAACGGGACTATTCCAACAGTAGAACTTCAGTCTCCAGTTTAGATTCTGTCTCTTTTTGCATAGTATGCATGGAAAAAAACTAAGATATTTCTAGTTCCATGATGTTTTATAGCTTTTTCATATTTCCTCTTCCTTCCACAATTTGTCCCAAGTCTTCTTTACACATACTGAAAATTATTCCGTTTATTATACAGTATTAAGTAAATATGACATTAGGCAGCTAATAAACTTATTGAAGAACTAGCAGAGATATCAAAATGTTAGGCTTCCTCTAGATCTCTGCAATTGCTACACGAAGATTTGTTTTTAACAAATACATATTCACCAGACATTACAAGTTGAAATCCTATTTGCCAAATGACAAACATATCAGGCCAAACTATTTGTATCTACCTCCTAATCAGATCCCTTTACCTGTTATCAGTACTGTGAACTGGGAAATGAGGGTAGAGCGCACAAAGAAGAGCAGCAATTGATGAATTTGAAGTGCTAAGTGAATATCTGTAAAGAAACAATATTTTCCCATGAGACAATAAAAAGCATTTCCTTGTCAAGCCAAAATATGGTCCCAACTTATAATGACTATAATATCACTTCTATGCCAAAAGCCCTATTAGAATTTTTAAATAGAGATGACAGGGATTTCATTCAAAATTTGCAAGCAAAATATGCTGTCTTTACATGGACAGATGGAAGAATAACTCAATATCATTGGCTTGCTTTTAAAAATTTATTATATGCCATCAAGTCACTGTCAGCTCTTAACTTTTTCTTCATGATTGATTTGCTTTAGTTAAACATATTTACAGAAACATACTCTGCATATTTTATTTTTCTTGTAGGAAACTAGCTTTTGAAAGAAGTTGGAATTACTACTAGATGCATGGAAAGATCTATATCATCAAACCTAAATTTCTGGGACACTGTAATGTCACTCAGTCCTGCTCTTTATTCTAGTTTTATTTTTTGATGTAACAATTTATATCCTATCTTTCTATTACCTGTACTTACGATTTCGCAGCATGATGATAAACTATAAAGCCAATACAAGAGGATGTGATGTTTAAAAGTTACTAAGAATTACACCATAAAGGTGAGAAAGTAGAACATATACATTAAATATCAGATAACATTTACACACTGTTTTATTAAGTCAAATTTTAACAAAATAGTGGAAGACCATCAGGGAAAGTGCCATTACTGAAAATGCTCTTATGAAATCCTTTTCAATGTTTCTGTGTTTTTGTTCCTCCTAGGAACCAGGAAGAACTTTTTCTAAAAACAACCAGTCTAATGCTATGATTATCCTAACTAAATGCTATGACAATCCTAAACTCATATAACTAAGCAATACTGTGGACATGATCTATCCTTCTTTGCAGCCTATAACAATTAATCAGTGGAACAACTTGCCTCCAGAAGTTGTGAATGCTCCAACACTGGAAGTTTTCAAGACAAGATTAGAGAACGATTTGTCTGAAATGGTATAGGGTTTTTTACCTGAGCAGGGGGTTGGACTAGAAGACCTCAAAGGTTCCTTCCAACTCTGTTATTCTATTTCTTTATTCTATATATGCCAAGGTTAATAGCAAAGAGATCCTAGATTCTTCAGGTTTGGGGTTTTTTTTGTTTTCTGGATGTTTATATGCATGGAAATATAAAGGATTAAGGAGCAGAAGACTCTTTCTCAAACCACAGATTACCTTCCTCCTCCCAGAAAGAGGAGTCCCAGAGCCATATGGTGTGCCATATGGAATCCATAGTTCATTTCTCCACCAGTCTTCTTGTGTAGAAAACGACAGAGCTGAAGGATCTTCAGGTTCCCAGATCCGGCCATCACCATTGAAAGGGAAAGCAACACCACACTAAGACAAGTCTCTAGGTTATAGTGTCCAGCCTAAGAAATATGGAACAGATTGTTTTTATACCTAATTTGCACTTTCTAAATATGCTTCTAAGCTGGCTAGATTGCAATCTTTAGAGGAACTAATTTTAGCAAATAACAGACTATATAAAGCACACCAACTTCCGCAATACTTACTCTGAAAAAAAAAATCATTTATACCAAGAATAAGCAACCCACATCCTGTACATACGCGCCCAATATCCCATCATTATTCAGTGGGAAAATACTGATTTTAACGGTCAAGGTTTTTTTTTTCTTTTGTGGGTGCAAATCAAATGAAATGTTAAACTTCTTCCCCATCACCTAAACACTGAAAGAAACAAGCAGAAAATCTCCCTCCCCCCCCCACCTCCACCCCAGTAATGTTACCCTATCACAGCCATATAACTACAGCCCCTGGCAGGTAAAAATAATAAAAACACCAGCTCCTAGCCAACACAAAATGCCTTTTGCAATCTAAGCAAAGAGGAGCTAAAAGACAGATTGTCTCTACTAGTAATCGTTAAGGGATTTGAGCTGCCAACCATTTAACTAGCAATATTAGTACTGTTATTTGTTGTAAATAAAGTTGCAAAAATTAAGAACCCTTGGAAAAAAGAGAACGAATAGATATTACTTTTGAGAGGAATATGAATTCCTATTAGCCTGATAAATCTCAAATGCTGTCCAGTCTCTTCTTAAAAACCTCCAGTGATGAAGCACTTACAACTTCTGAAGGCAAGCTGTTCCACTGGTTAATTGTCTGCCCTCACTGTTAGGAAGTTTCTCCTTAATTCCAGGTTGATTCTCTCCTTGATTAGTTTCCATCCATTGATTCTTGTCCTACCCTCTGGTGCTTTGGTGAATAATGTGACCCCCTCTTCTTGGTGGCAGCCCCTAAAATACTGGAATACTGCTATCATGTTACCCCTAGGTCCTTCTTTTCTCTAGACTAACCATACCCAGTTCCTGCAACTGTTCTTCAAATGTTTTAGTCTCCAGGCTTTTACTCATCCTAGTTGCTAATAATAATGTATCCTAAATGCATTATTTTCATTTCTCCTGCCTCTTACTCCCTAGGAATTGCTTTATATGGCATCTGGTTCTACTATATGTCTACTAGATCTCAACATTTATTTACTATGATTATCCTGTATAATAAGACTTTCCTAATTATTTGATAGAATCCCCACTAAGTTACTTCCTCTATTAAAATGAGGACCTGTGTTATTAATAGTGCTAAGACATAAAATTCTCTCTTAGTATTTGGCTTACACCCTATCTGCTAAAAAAAAATCTGATACTTTCCAGAAAGAATATCTTTTTTTTTACATTCATATAACTGAAGCAACTTGTATAGTTTACTATTACAACAATTACCACCTAATAAGCAAGTATTAGACATGATCCTTTCCACACAACATGCTCAAAACATAGATGCTTCCTGCAATAAACTTTCTGTCATTCGTGCGAAAAGCTATTCACAGGATCCGTGTAATGTGCTGCAGCACAGGGGTGGACTGAAACACATTCCATGAATTTTAAGTACGTGTGCATGGACATGGAAAGATAAGGCAAGGTAGAGTTTTCTGTGAGCCAGTTTGATGATCTAATAAACCCCAACTGATTTAAACAAGAAGAGTAGTATACAACTTCACTTTTACTAATACAGTAATGAATTTAAAGAAACTTACAATGGAAGCTGTGGCTGATGATAAACATTTCATGAAGTCTTTTGCAAATGCAAACTAGAAAGAGAAATTTAAGATGAACAAATATATTGTGGCAATGAAAAAACAAGCACAGAATGGAAAGAGAACTCAGAGATTCCAATCATGCAAACTAGACCTTCTGGTACAGTGCTACCCATAAGGAAATTCTCCTCTTTCACAAAATCAATGTTAAATATATTTGAGGTTCATCTGGCTAAGGCAAGAATCTTTATCAGGCAAATGAAGAATATCTCCTCATTTATGGTCCTCATGAACTTCTCTAAAAACAAATACAGATATTCATCTGCACAATTCTGTATTCTACAGTATGCTACATTTTGCAGTGTTGTGTTTTTAAATATATTGAAAGGTAAGCATTGTCATTACTACTCCATTTTAAAATGTTGGCTGATAGTTAAGGAATAGACATTATGTTAACTAGCTGTCCAACAAGTACAGCTAGTTAAAAGACTAATTCCACCTTCCCTAACTTAGTATTCTCCAGATGTTCTGGACTGGAATTTCCACTATCCCCAGACATCAACAAGAATTTGACTGGGAAATACTGAAAAAACTGATCATTGGGGAACAGCTCTGGGAAGAGCCAAAGAGAGAAGAGTTTAAAACAGTGGTTCTCAACCTTTTTAATGCTGTGACCACCAACCAGTCGTAAGTTGAGGACTACTCAACCGCTCGTAAGTCAAGGACTACTCAACTGGTGCAGCACCGTTTGCAGAATGGGACTTCTAGCGGGCTCAGCAGGGCAGAGACAGCCTGGACAATTCCTATTGGCTTTTGAAAGCCAATAGAATTATACTCTATTCAAGAGAGTCTATTCTATTGGCTTTCAAAAGCCAATAGAATAAAAGGGAGTAGCACAGCTAAGGAAAAGAGGAAAAAAATGGCGGACTGCGTTGTTTGGTGACCCCCATGAAATGGTCATTCGACCCCAAATGGGGTCCCGACCCACAGGTTGAGAACCACTGGTTTAAAAGAAGGCAATTGTATTACTATAGAATAACGCTATGTATTAAGAAAAACAGATGTATCCAGTATCTATTTATCTAAGTTAACTAAGTATCAATGAGCTCATCAGTCATGAGATGCCCAGACACCATCATTACTTTAGCCACAAGCTAAAGGAGAGTTGTCCTTTCTCCAGCATGAGGATGGATAATCCACAGATGGGTTTCCTGTTGTCCTTTCTACCCAATAAACTAAGTCTGAGAGTTTGCCACGCCTCCCGCTGGTCTTTGCTGACCCAGTTCCGATTTAGTCTGATACCCAGCAGGACGCGTTGGTTCCATCTCAGTGGCAACAGGTTATATTATCTGTGAATTATCCTCCCTTTTACTTAACAATCTTTAGTTTTGTTGGAAAATCATTAGTTCTTTCCCAGTTTCTTTCTTTCCTTCCCCTTAGAACTTCAGATTTACCTCCTCCTTCTCTCCCCCTGCCTTTCTGAGCTGCCACGGCTCCACCAATCGACTTAGCTGATTGGCGGACCTCCGCGGAGCCCCTAAATAGCCTGATCATCAGCTGGGTTTCAGCCTGAAGATTTTTGGATTCCCCGGCCTGCCGCACGGACAGCGGCCACCATTTTGGGGGGTGCAAATGGTCGTTTTTCCTTATTAGAAGCCTCCCAAGGGATTTTCTTCTAGCCTGCTTTTACAGCGGATAGAGGGAGAGGTATTTAGTATAACGCCTGATTTTTGGTGGGGAGCTTACCAATCCAAATTGGCTATTTAGAGGGCCTTAAGGAAGCCTTGATATCGCCTCAGGCGTTGACAACCGCCATTTTGAATACCTTTTTTGGGTGCCATTTTTCCTCAGCCTCAGTTTTACCTTCCAGAGCATTCAGGCCCAATAAAATAAATACCCTGCCACATTGGATTAACATTGCCTCTGGCAATTTTTCAGCGATTTGGAAGTCCAAAACCTTCCTCCAATTGCAATCTTTGCCTTGCTTCTCAGGCCTTAAATTGCATCAGAGTGATTTAACCCAATATATTCCTATTCCAACGAACATTTTGCCTCTCAAAATACACTGTGATTCACAGTAGAATTATCAGGAGCTTATACTGGTTTTACCAGTTTTCAACAGTTAACAGTCCAGGCCTCAGCTCCTATTCCCATAGAGCAGGGCTTTTCAACCTTTTCACCCATTGTACCACTTTTAGGATATGGCAACAACTGAGTACCACCAGTCGCCTAGTAAGGTGTCAAAAACTTGATGCCCCCCCCAAAAGGAAAAAACTGTTGTAAGTCCTCGACTTACAACAGTTCGCTTAGTGACTGTTCGAAGTTACAATGACAATGAAAAAAGTGCCCCCCAAGCCACAGCCGAGCAAGACACCTGCCTGCCCGCCCGGCGGCGCTCTTCCTCCTCTTTCATTGTTGTGAGCATTTCTGTTGAGGATTGGCAGCGAGGGTGGGTTGGGGGGCGTTTGGTTTTTATACCCTCCGTCTGTTGGGTGATTGTAGCAGGTTTTGACC